TTTCTTCTCGTCCTTTCTCTTTCCTTTCTTCATCTCTCCTTTTCTTTTCTTCTTCTTTTTCACATCTCTTTTCCTTTTTTCTTTTCTTTTCTTCTTGTGATACCCTGGTGAGCTTTCTGTTTTGCGCAGACAGCTCATATAGTCCCTGTGAAAAGGAGCCTCGATTGTGGTCGAGGGTCTGGGACAACCCCCGCAATTGTTTTTATTTTCTATCCTGAAAAAGTTGTGTGCTTTTGATTCATCATGGATCAGCAGAAATTCCTGCAGCAACTGCAGATCGTCCTGAACCGTAAGTCACCAATCATGCAAAGTCAGGCAATGAGGAATGCTGACGAGACAATTTCCAGCCGCCCAGGGAAATGTGAAGGAAGCGACGGGTATCCTGCAGCGCGAATTCTATAACAAGCCGGAGTCCCTGGTTTTCCTCATCCAGATCGCTACTGGACATGAGGACGCCAACTTGAAGCAGCTCGCCGCTGTCGAGGCTCGCTCCCTGGTGAACAAGCACTGGGTTTCTGTGCAGGCCGGCCAGAAGCCTCAAATCCGCGAGCAACTGCTCCGTTCCACCCTTGGCGAGGGCTCTTCCCTCGTCCGTCACTCAATCGCTCGTGTCATCTCGGCTGTTGCAAGGTGGACCTGAACGATGGCGAATGGGCCGAACTCCCCAACTTCTTGATCCAGGCCGGCAGCACCGGCAACAAGGACGAGCGTGCCGTGGCCATCTACATCCTGTTTACCATTCTGGAGACTCTGGGTGAGGGATTCGAGGAGAAGTTCCAGGATCTCTTCAACCTGTTCGGCAAGACCATTGCGACCCAGAGAGTGAGGAAGTGCGTACCAACACGCTTCTGGCTCTCGGCAGACTTGCCATGCACCTTGATTCGGAAGAGGATGTGGGTCCCGTTAAGGCTTTCCAGCAGCTCATCCCCTCCATGGTCGCTGTTCTCAAGGAGTCGATTGATCAGACCCAGGAGGACCGTGTGATGCAGGCTTTCGAAGTCTTCCAGACTATTCTTGGCTGTGATCCGGCCCTCTTGACGGTGCACCTCAAGGACCTCGTTGTCTTCATGAACGAAATCTCTGCCAACACTGAGGTTGAGGAGGATACCCGTACCCAGGCTATCAGCTTCCTGATGCAGTGTGTCCAGTACCGCAAGCTCAAGGTGCAGGCTATGCGTGTCGGTGAGCAGCTCACTCGCACTGCTCTCCACATCGTCACTGAACTGGGCGATACCTCCGTCCTTGATGATGACATTACCCCGGCGCGCTCCGCTCTGGGTCTGCTTGATATGCTGGCCCAGAGCCTGCCTCCAAGCCAGGTCGTCGTGCCCCTCCTGCACTCTTTGGGCCAGTACTTCAACAACACCAACCCCGACTACCGTCGTGCCGGTATCATGGCTCTGGGTATGTGTGTCGAGGGTGCCCCCGACTTCATCAGCACTCAGATGAAGGAGATCTTCCCCATGGTCCTCCAGCTCTTGGGTGACCCCGAGCCCAAGGTTCGTCAGGCCTCGTTGCACGCTGTGGCCCGTCTTGCCGATGACCTGGCTGAGGACTTGAGCCAGGAGCACGAGAGGCTCATGCCCTTGCTCTTCCAGAACCTCGCCAGTGCTATGCAAGAGTACAAGGGCGAGGAAGATGGCCCAACTATTGATATCATGAGGCCGGCATCAGTGCTATCGACGCTGTCGTCGACGGCCTTGATGAGAAGGATGTTGCTCCTTACCAGGGTGAATTAGTTCCTATCTTGCACAAGCTGTTCAAGCACCCCGACTTCAGAATCAAGGGCCTCGCTGCTGGCGCACTTGGCTCTCTGGCCTCCTCTGCCGGCGACTCCTTCCTGCCATTCTTTGATGAGTCCATGCACTTGCTGCAGGAGTTTGCCACTGTCAAGGACAGCGAGGAAGAGCTCGACCTGCGCGCTAGCGTGACCGATGCCATGGGCGAGATGGCCGCTGCCGCCGGTGCTGAGCGTTACCAGCCATACGTCGAGCCGCTCATGCGCGCAACCGAAGAGGCTCTGCACCTTGGTCACTCACGTCTGAAGGAGAGCACCTACATCTTCTGGGGCGCTATGTCCAAGGTTTACGCTGAGCATTTCTCTGCCTTCCTCGATGGTGTCGTGAAGGGTCTCTTTGCTTGTATCGAGCAGGATGAGACTGATCTTGAAGTCTCTTTCGGCGAGGCTGCCAAGGACTTGGTCGGCCAGGAGGTGACGGTTGGTGGCCGCAAGGTCAAGGTTGCCAGCGCTGACGATGACGAGCCTGTCGGCGAGGATGGCGAGATTGAAGACGTCGACCTCGAAGACGAAGATGGCTGGGATGACATCACTGCCACCACTCCTTTGTCTCTCGAGAAGGAAATTGCTGTTGAGGTCATCGGTGACCTTGTTACTCACACCAAGTCCGCCTACCTGCCTTACTTCGAGAAGACCATCGAGATGGTGCTGCCCCTTGCTGAGCACCCGTACGAAGGTGTTCGTAAGAGCACTATCAGCACCCTCCACCGCTCCTACGCCATGCTCTTCGCCATTGCCGAGGAGAACGGCCAGATGGCTAAGTGGAAGCCTGGCCTGCCTCTCCAGGTCGAGCCTGCCAAGGAGGTCAAGAAGTTCGGTGAAATCCTCATGACTTGCACTATCCGCATGTGGACTGAGGAAGATGATCGGTACGTATACTATCTTTTTCCTTATTTTTGTTTTTTCTTGCCAGGGTTTGAAATTATTTCATTCCTGGCACCTACAATGATGAACACACTCGTTTACCCAGCTCACTCAGACACACAAAAAGTGTGATTGATGTAAAAGGCGATTATCTCACATCTGAACTCTTGTCTCTTTTCATGTTTTGCTTGCGTGAACATTGTATGTTGGCATTGATTCTAACCTGCCACCTCCTAGGGCTACCGTCGCCGATATCAACCGCAACATGGCTGAGAACCTGCGCTACTGTGGTCCTTCTCTGATTGCCAACGAGACTACTCTCCACAACGTCATCACGATGGTCACCGATATCATCACGAAGAAGCACCCTTGCCAGCTGGAGTTCAGCCCCGACGACGATTCTATCGACGCCGGTGAGGAGTCTTCTGAGTTTGACTGGGTCGTTGTCGACACTGGTCTTGACGTCGTTTCTGGTATGGCTGCTGCCCTCGGTGAGAGCTTCGCCGAGCTCTGGAAGGTCTTCGAGAAGACTATCATCCGTTACGCCGGCAGCACTGAGTCTCTTGAGCGTGCCACCGCTGTCGGTGTTCTCGCCGAGTGCATCAATGGCATGGGCGCTGCTGTGACCCCTTACACTTCTGCGTTCATGAAGCTGCTTGTGCACCGCCTTGGTGATGAGGATCCTCAGACCCGCTCCAACGCTGCTTATGCCGTTGGCCGTCTCGTTGAGCACTCCACCGCTCCCGAGATCGTCAAGGAGTTCCCCACCATCCTGAGCCGTCTCGAGGCCTGCCTGCACATGGATGTCTCTCGTCTTCAGGACAATGCCACTGGCTGTCTCAGCCGCATGATCCTCAAGCACCGTGACAGCGTTCCCCTCAAGGACGTCCTCCCTGCTCTGGTCAAGCTTCTGCCCTTGAAGAACGACTACGAGGAGAACGACCCCTTGTACCGCATGATCTGTCAGCTGTGTATGTATTCCCAGCTTTCCCTTTCTAGTGATCCCTTCGCTAACTATCCTCCAGACAAGTGGGAAGACCCTACCACCCGCGAGCTTACCCCTCAATTCCTGCCCATCTTCCAGTCTGTCCTCTGCGGTGACGAGGATCAGCTCGAGGACGAGCGCCGCGCCGAGCTCGTTGAGCTTGTCAAGTGGCTGAACCAGATGCAGCCCGGTGCTGCTCCTTGGGCTGAGCAGCTGTAAAGCTCACCCGACATGATGGCTTGACGATTCAACAAATATTTAATGGATAGACTGGTTACCAAAATGGTTTTTATGGTTGACTGATAGAAGATACCCCTCCGGAGCGCATCAGGGTCGGCCCTGTTATGCGTGATGATGTGACGAAGACGGATAGAAAAGTCATGTATTCGTTTCGCAATGATTTATGAATCAAACGGTGTAAATATACCAATGTTTATAACCTGCACTTGTATGCATACTCCTTTCGATTGTAGCACGTAGTTAACTGTCTGTTTGAGTTACAGGCGGAAGTTGAACATTTAGCCCTAGACTGATACCTGCACTTTAGCTACATGGGTCCTCCCCTGAATCCTGGTCATCAACTCGTACAATTCACAACATGCCTAATCTATATCTCGAATCTACTGGCAGACATTGGGCAATACTGTATCAACTGGACTACTTGGCAAATTGGTCAATCCCTAGAACGTCTCATCATATACTTCCACACAAACAGTCTGCTAAGCACTACTCATTCCATCCCTCACGACCCAAACTAATCTGGGATATGTCCATCACTTCCCCAGATCATTCGGCCACTTCCGATATGCAGTAGCAGCTGCATTAACGCGGAAACCTGCATGCTTAGGCCATGACCTACGTAGGTAACTTAACAGGACAGTACCAGAGATATGAACAATACAATAGAATGCATAGTCAGAGATAGCGAAAGAAATCCAGATGAGCCTCCCAAGACAATCCAATAACCCACATTCAATAACCCGCCACCCAAGTCATATTCTCATCCTAGACCTGGGGGACGGGGATGCAATCAATCTGTGATTCAGTTCCTGCGACGAACAGGAGGCTCGAAACCATCGATCGCATCTAGGAGGGTTTTACCCTTAATGACACTATCGCCTACCTGCTTTGTCCAACCCTTGTACCACGGCAGATTCGGGGACTCTACCAACATGTTGTCCCCGTGAGCAGCGGCAATAGGAAAACCCGCTACAACCCTGGGGTTATATTTGGCTTTGTGTTTCAGCTCATGCACCGTTGCCTTGAATATTTCGTTGAAACGCCCCCCATCCCAGCGCACGGTGTCCAGTTTGGTAACCGCGACCGCGATCTGGGGAATGCCTAACTCGTGGGCGCGTTCAGCAAACTGGATGGTCTGATCATTCTCGCTTTCTCCAATGGTCTCCCCAGAAGAAGCGGAAATCACCAGGAGGGCGCAGTCGGCGGGGATGATGCCAGTTGAAACGTTGTGATGGAAGGAATCCAGATCGGGGATTTCTAGTGGCGGTCAGTAACCCTGGTATCTATATCTATATATGTATGGATCTGGTGGCACTACCATAAAGCGTAATTGTATATTTCGGTGTTTCCATGTTCCATGACGGGATTGCATCGGGGTCCCCGTTTTCTCTGCTCGCATATTCATTAATGGCCTTCGCATAGTCCTTAGCGGGTGTGTATGGCGCGGAAGCGACGTGCTGTGACCCTGTTAGACAAGAATCATGCTAAACATTTTTTGGTGTGTTTGACCATACCTCCTGGATCAGCTGGGCCAACCCTTCGTATTGCCCTTCTGTGGAGATGAGATAACCTATCCAAGATACTATCAGTCATGATGTTCACGTTGTCAGGATTGCAAGTCAAGATCCAGTCATGAATTACCAATCGTCATCGACTTGCCGGACCCGGCGCTGCCGATCACAACGATGTTAAGATGTGTCTTCGACATATTGAGCCGTGGAGGTACAGGTGATTGACGGTGGAAAAGGAGGGAAGCTGAAGAAGATTCTGGTGTACCCAGACATTGAGGTGGGAGTCCTGGTCTTATAAGGAAAAGTCCTACACTGCAGATCTTGCCTGCATATTGTTACGATCAGCCCCGCAGTTCAGCTGGTGGTGGGATGCAGCTCTATAGATACGATAAGTGGATAACCTTCATCCCCACTGCTCACTACACCGAACTCTGTCGCGGGCAGAGGAAATGCCTCTCCGTCACTTCTGAGTCTCTTCCGACTCTTTCGAAAGAAGAAGGAGAAACAAAATATGAATACCCACAATGTCTCCTCCGCCCCGGGCTGCATCCAACTCCTCCAGCAACACAAAAAGCAGCTTCAAGACGCCCAGTCTCACCAAGGCCAGTGTCTCAGCATACAAAGGCCTCGCGATGAAACCATTCTCGGGTTCAATCTTCGTCGCGCGAAGAATCAGGACCGATCGAGTCTAAATCACAGCGTTCGGTCCTCCATCATCCCCCCAGCCTATCACCCATGCACGCGTTCTGTCTGTGATCTGCAGCCGATCATGATCAAGGATCTGCGGGTGGAAACCCATCACCGCGATTCGTATCTTCTGCTCCGGTCGGTGACGCCACCAGACGAAATGACGGCTATTCTGGCCATCGTGGAGGATGAGAATGGGGATGTTCTCATGCTGCAGCTTTACAACCAGGATATGGACCGCCCTGTAGAAGAGAATCTCCCAGAGGGAACGGCTTTGATTGTGAAAGAGCCATTTCTGAAACTGATGTCTGATGGGGAGTATGGGATCCGTATCGATCATGTTTCTGATATCATATTTTTGTCGGCTTTTGATGAGCGAGTCCCGCTTTGCTGGCGGCCACAAGAGCGTCCAAACTTCGATGTGGACCATTGGAAGATGACGGGGGACGAGTTTTGCGATAACGCCAAGTACCAACTTGCGATTGAATCCTACACCAAGGCGTTGAACGGCTTATCTAATTCGGAAGAATCCAACACCCTTAGACTCAGCCGAGCCTATGCTTTGCTTAAAGCCCGCCGGTTCGACGAGGCCCTGCTCGACCTCAACTCTATACCACAAACCAGTCCTTCTGCTGAGAAAGCTCTTGTATATAAGGTCCTAGCCCTCTACAACCTCCATCGGTACCGCCAATGTCACCAAGTCCTCAGTTGTCTTGGTCCTGAATCCTCAGGCAACCCTGCAATCAAGGACTATCCCGCCCGTGTTCTCAGGCATCTTGAGGAACAAGAGCATGGGAAGTACCAGTTCAAGCCGATGTACCAAGCCAGCAAAGACTTCTCCCCAGATTTAGATCATGCTACGTATATTGGCCCCGTGGCTGTCAAACCATCTGGTTCCCGTGGACGCGGTCTCTTTACCACCGAGGCAGTCAAGGCCGGGGATCTTCTATTATGCGAGAAAGCATTTGCGCATATATCTGCAGACCCAGAACAGGACAATAATGTGACGCTTCTGATGAACATCGAAACCGACACCATGACCGTGGGAACACAATCCGATCTCATCCGAGTGATCACGCAGAGACTTTACCAGAGTCCCGCTTTGATCAAGCAGTTCACGGATCTCCATCATGGATCATATAATCCAGTTAATATATCCGATGTGGATGGGAAACCAGTTTTGGACTCGTAACTACCCCCTACCCAACCAGGGATACTCTCCAGCCTGACCAAGAATAATACAGATTTCTCATCGCACGCATTGTCTCCCTAAATGCATTCGGCTGTCCGCCGTCCTCCCGGGAATACTACCTAGCTGATAAAGCCAGAAGATTAGAAACAGGGGATCAGTTCCATTCATGCGGTGTCTGGCCCAAGTCCTCCTACATCAACCACAGCTGTGACAGTAACACCCAACGGAGCTTCATCGGCGACATGATCATAATCCGCGCCGCAAAGGACCTCGACCCCGACACCGAGATCACCTTCTGGTACGCGACGCCCGACGTCGACGATTTCGATACCCACCGCGATAAATTCCAGCACTGGGGCTTCGAGTGTGATTGTATCATCTGTCAAGACTACCAAAACACAGATGCAAGCATCCTCGAGAAACGACAAACCCTGCGAACAGAAGTCCGCCAGTATATCCAATCCACCCGGCACCCAGACCTCGTAAGGATCGAAAGCACGGTTGCTTCATTGGCGAGCACGTACAGTCGACCCGCGCGCGAAGTCCCGCGTCTGGGCATCTGGGACGTGCAGTGTGTCCTGGCGAAGAAGTATCTGCGACTGGACCAGCCTGTCAAGGCTATCGAGGCGGTGTTTGGAGCGCTGGAGTCCCTGGGTTATATCATTCAGGGGGCGGATGTCCCGGATGCGCCGCTGGTGGTTGTGCAATGGGGGTTTATGGTGGATCAGCTTATTGAGATCTGGCTTGTTCTGGCTGAGGCGTTTCATACGGTCAGTCCGGAGCTTGAGGCGATGGCTGAGAGGTATGCTAGAATTACGTATAAGATATGTGTGGGTGAGGATGAGACGTTTGAGGATACTTATATTACAAATAGTACATAACCAGTTTCCTTTTCTTGTTAGATGTTTGTCTGTACCAAAGACTTTGTCCGTCTTTTCTCTCTATGCTCCAGGATCAAGGACAGAGCGAAAGGAGTGTTTAAAAGCTTCCAGCAGAAAACACCACACCAGCTGGCCTCTCAATCAAGCTCATACACCAAAACTAGAACACACATCAAGCATACTAAAACACAGAAGAGTCAAGGATGAAATACTAAAATAAAACAAAACAAAACCAAAAGACATTATCTAAATCAGAAACCCCAACTAGAATCCCCCCTCTCCAAACCCAAGAACTCCACCACTCTCGGTAGATGATCCACGCCCCAGAAACACTCTTTCTCGCCACAAGCATTCACACACTCGAACCAGGGTAATCCAAACGCTCCAGTGTCGAATGCTCTTTGAGTATTCTCCGTCAGACGGAGTTTGGTCTCTGGTTCTTTTGACTATATCAATTAGCATTAGTATCAATCACCATGAATATCACATCACCATCACCATCACCATCATCACCACCAACAAGATCCAAAACAGATAAAAGAAATAAAAACAGAACAAAACTTACAGCCTCAATTATCTCCCCCGCACCCTCCCCACCGAAAACCTCCTCCAACACACCCATGACCCCATCCGTAGTCACAATACGTGAATCCCCCTCTCCCCACAGCCCGCGATATAACCTCTCCACAACTGAAGCCAACTCCCCGGGATACCGCTCACCGAGCACGAGTAGTATACTCTGGACCTCAGTAGTCGGGAAGGGAAACCCCGCTGGCGGAGTTTCACACATGGGTAGTTTTAGTCGGCGGGACCAGTAGAGGCGTTCTTTGTTTATCCAGGTTGATTTATCTACCATTTTGTTAGCTTTGCCTTTGGGTATATTCTATACTAGTATTCTTTAAAGTATCTGGATTCCTGATTGTGGAGTTGGGTAAGAAGGGTTGATTTGAGAGTATGGAAGGGAGGACATGGGTAAATACTCTTCACAGCAATCGGGGGCGTATTCTGGCATTTGGTGAAGAGGTCACGCAGGAGGATTGGGGTGTAGGTTATGTTGCATTTTGAGAAGATGGGGCAGTTCTATAGTATAATTTTGGTTAGTTTGGTTGTTTGTATATGGGGCTGTAATTTGTGCCTAAAGACGGACTTTGAGAATGTGGAAGGCGACGTAGCTGAATGGGCTTAGGAGGTCGAAGTAGAGGGTGACCTTTGGGGTGGACATCTTGAGAAGATATATGGAATATAGAATTAAAGATATTATATTATAACTTGAAGTTGAAATTGGATGACTGTGGTTTGTTTATTGCTTGCAGTGGTAGGTAGGGTTAGACCCAGTTCAGAGTGGGAGGATGGAGGTTTATATTCTACGAATCTCTGATCTACAAGAGGGGCTTGCATTTATGTGCAAGATGATTTCCTTGAATGAGGTTCTGATTCCTCAACAATTCAACGGACAGATATACGTGTATCTGCAGAGGAATGGTGAGAACTTAGGGTTCGTATCCCGTCTGGATCTATGATAACTAATCATTAATATAAAGTTGTTGGGGTTCCGCAAAAGATCCCCAACCGTACACCTGACTCAGAGTGAGTGATTGAATCTGAATCAGCCATTCGAGAATATACTATAGTGTACTAGATACGTATTGACCGCTCTTGAGCACTTTATGAGTCGAGACGGGAACTTTTATAGTAGTCTAATTCTATCTGAAAGAATACTATCTGACATCAATCAGTGAATCACCTTTCTGTCCTACTAAATCCAGAAATACCCTCGCGATTTGTGTCAGAGAATTTCACTATCCATCAGACTGAGATGAATACCTCTGTAATTGAAGGGGCCGCAGTGACCGTAAACTGAGCGATGGGATGTATGTAGATTTGGGAGCCATCCTCATCACACTATTTTGTGACGGAATATATGCAAAGATCCGTAGTGAGTCTACTCTTAATCTGCGCATGACCGATTCTTGGTCTGTTTTGGACAAATATGCAGTCATCTGAATAGTCTCACTCCACACAGCGCATTACACTTTGAATGTCTCCAGACTAGCCTCCAACATAGCCCTCCACTCTCCCACCTTGTCTGCCTTCTCGCCCCGGGGACAAACCTCAACAATCGCCCGCAAGTACCCAATCGCATCCTGCATGCTCTCATGAAGAGAAAAGCGAGGCTCCGTCTCCGACAATAGGTCCACGCCGCGGGTACGGCATCGCTCGTCAAAGAGTGCACGTACACTTTTCTGCTCTTCCACAGCCTGAGCATTCCGCTGACCATTCCAGAGGAATGCCTGCGCAGGATCCCACAGCTGGACTGGCACGACACCGGAAAACTCCCAGTCCAAAATCGCCGTGACACGAGCCGCAGTCGGGTCGTACATGATATTGGCCATGTGGAGGTCCTTATGTGCCAGGACATATGGCGTATCATTGAGTTCCGGGAACTACGGCATGACATCGACCCAGGCGTCGAGGCGGGGGAGAAGGTCCCGCCTGGCCTCCAAGGAGGCATGCACACGGATGGCGTGCTGGTAAACACGGACTAGTGCTACGATATATGCGGTGTATGACTCGTATGGGCCGGTAATATTAATCGAGGCGACGGACTCACCGCAGGAAAGTAGGTCACAATATCAGGGGCCTGCCAGAAGGTTTCCTCGAGAATGAGACCGGGAATGACCTGAGCAGAGGCGCCAGTTTCTGCCGTAGAGGGGGAGAGCACCAGTCCAGATACCCCAGACCAGGACTTTTGGTGCAGCTGCAGGACAATATCCAGAATTTGGTCAACAATCACTGTCAGCTGCTCCACGGACAGCTGATCGTAAACCTCATGCAGACCAATGCCTGGGGAGCGCATGAGCAGCGTAAATTCATAACCAAGGCTATTTTTGGTGGTAGCATCAAACCAGATGATCTCGGGAATTGGGATAGACGTATGCTGACGGACCCAAGTCATAACGGCGACCTCATTCTCCGTCTTGATGTGCGGGAGATGGCTGCCTGAGACCCGCAGAACGAGATCGACCGACCCGTTCCCACCATCCAAAGACTCCAATTTTGGCGAAATTTAGCTTGCATCTTCCGCTGAGAACGACAGCAGGTAGATGGAGTGGTACTCCGCTATGACAATGAGAGCTCTCACGCCGATGGGTGTGGGGAGACCCAAAGAGTGAGCGAACTCTAGCAAGGTCTCCTTGTCCAGGCTGGGAGGAAGGTACTGTGTGGGATTGCCCACGGTAAGGAGTGTGGTGCCTTTGTGTCTACAACCTCGTCTGAGATGACGTGGATGGATGTATATGTGACAATTCTTAGTAGCGTCGATGTTCAGTTGAATCTTAGCTGTATGAGACAAAGAATTAGGCCAGAGCATGTGACCGGTCCCGCAACTGAGCAGGGAACGCAGTGAGGCTCTCTGCACGCATTCTTGATTTCAAGTTACCACTTGGTACTAGATACCTGGGATTAAGCTCTTGCGACCATATGTATATTGCTTTTGTTAAAATTATCACACCCTACGTGGTCCGTGGCGGGCGCATTACCTGGAACCCTTTCTCCTTCCGCTTGGGATATTTGAACCGCGCCAACATTCTGTGCGTCCAATGGCGCAACGTCTGTCGGCTGGGTTGATTTTCGTCCGGCGAAAGTAGCATCGATGGCGACGTAGAGTCGTTATTCCATCTACCGTAGTAGAAGTCTGATTCTCTAACAGAATAATCTATCTCGGGTCTGCTGGGTACTTCTAACAGCTCGTCGAGTATATCCAGAGAGCTTCGAGTCGGGTGAGAGTCACTGTATGATTCCTCGCTCAAACTTAACCCTACCGGCGAACCAACAGATCCTGATGCTGGGCTGGCGCACCCGGTTCTGGTTGGCAGGGGTTCATTTCGGCGTGGGGATCTATAGAAACTGGAGAAGTCCGTGACATAATGCCTACCAACAGGAGGTGATAGGGAGAAAGGTGTGGCCGAGTTGTCACTCTCCTTAGGGTGTTCAAGGGATGTCCCAGCTGAGCCCAGCCGGTAGGAGCTGGCCAGGCTGTCAAAACTGTGCTTGTCTCGACTGTTGTTCTGGCCTTTCCCGTGGCGGATGACACTAGTGTCTCGAAAAGGAAAGGAGCGGCTGCCATGATTCACAGGCTAATCGGTTAGTTCCTGCAAGTAGTCGTTATAGCGATGGGATCCTGGCTAGCTTACAGGAATCACAATCAAGTGGTCCGAGAATAAGTCATTATTTCCACCAGCCTTTTTCCAGGCACGTCGAGACAACTCCCACAGCGAGATAAGGAGGAAGCCGAAGATTATTACCGCACCATGAAGGCACAAGATCACATAGCCGACCCATTGTTTCATCACCTCATTCGAGGAACACACGAATGTAAGGCTCAACAAGAGAGATATAAAGCGAACAGCAGCACACCAGGCGGTCTTGGATATGAAGAATCTGGCCTGCCGCTGTATGGCCGTATGGATAATGAGAACGACTTCACACCCAACAAGCGTAAGTAGCTGTGCCAGGCCCCAGTCCTGTAGCCCGCCGATTATAATACCTTGAGCTAGTTGAATCGCATGTGGCAGATAATCCAAATATCGCAGTAACCTGCTTGAGCCGGTCGATGGACTGTCTTGGTCAGAGCCAGCTGATGTATCGCTCAGATCCCTTTGTTTGAAATGCCGAGATATCAAATAATTTGCGCAAATGATAGCAACCATTGCCAAAGTGACTAAAGTGACGCGGTAGTTTGGAAGATATCCAATCAGGATCAATTCGTATGACATGTATGAAAGAAGAGGGACACTGAAGAATGATAGAGTTACCCCTAGAATGATATACCCTCCCTGCCAAAGGATTGCGGTTAACGAAGGCAAGTAGCCCGAGCCCGACGTTATTAGGCATAAAATCAGTAGAACCACAATAAGACCAGAAACTAGGATGAACATATTGATGAATGCATCGAGCATTACGTCAGGCATCTGAGGAAAACCGAGCATCTGTACCATGTACTCAAGCCCGTAGGATGCATTGCTAACATACATACCATCCTCTACTCCCGTGTATGTAAAGCCATGGTCAATAGGGCCTGTCCAATATAACAACGAGGACCAGGACACCTGGCTTACTATTGGCTGGTAGAAGCCTGGATATTCCATGGTAAGTGAACCAGCCAGAAAGACAAACTGGAGGTATCGTATATAGTCGGTGATATCAAGGATGATCTCCCATATAGGGCCCTGATTGGCCCACGCAGCTCTGCAGCCTACCTTCACCCCCGCTTTATTATGGTGCTTTAGCCACGAAGTGATCGCAACAAGGACCACTACAGCGGCAGGTATATAGGTAAAGGCTATAGCGGCAGCTTTCCCAACGTCTGGGGTAATCTTCACCGCCGCGCAATCGATTTCGGACCCGTCAGTGGTTTTAAAAGCAATCTCCGTGGCGAGGGTCTGCAGCCGGTGGGTATTGCCGAACGAGTACGTAAACAAGTACTTTGAGAAAAGCAACCCCTCAGGACTGAAGAATAGCATAAGCGATGTGATAAAATGGTACAAGAATAGATGGACGAACTAATGAAGTACTTACGGTGTCAGCGCCTCAGTAATTGTGAGGGGACATTGGCTCTCAAAACTCTCGACCTTGCCGACGGGGAAACCGAGCACATTAAAACGCGATTCCGTGTCAAGCCCGGTCAGGTTGAGGTCATTGCATGTAAACTGCGATTCATTGTGGACGCCGAGGATTGACAATGACAGTAAGGTGGAGCCATCGAACGTGTCGAACGAGCCGCGAAGGCTGTCAATCCAGAATGGGGACTCCCCCGGCACACTGGACCGTGAAGAGTCACAATGATACTTCCGCACCCATGCGGCTTGACAACTCAGGACATAGACAGCAAGGTTTAGGAAAAGACGGCGCCAGGCGATCCACCGAGGCATGGCACGTGGTCAATACCCCCTAACGTAGTATAGAACTGATGAAGTTGGGTTAGGGAATTAGAGATGCATTGGTATATCTAGCGCTAATGCGACCACCAGTGGAGGAGGGTAACGGACTGATAAAGCACCATTCAAAATGCGTGCATTAGTTCCACATAGATTGCGGTGGATATTTTCAGCCTAGAAAAGCGGGAGAAGAAAAAGAATTCTGTTTGCTTTGTTTGCTTTGCACATCCAAAAGGGAAATCGGGGCCCACTCCCGAGTCGACTGTATTATGCTTCATTGCTTTCATCCAATCCGAACCGGGAAACAGGTACTTCAAATAAGCAAAATGGCTTTGAAGTGGAAAATGATTGTGTACTATTCAGCAGACGCTTCTAAGGATATGGTTGACCAGAAAATATATCTCTGTCAGTCAAAGCCCTTTAGGTATTGGTTCGACCACAAAGATATATTGTTGTTTCTATATTCGGACGAAGTCAGCAGGTGGATGTAAGTATTCCGTAATTATTCTGACAAGCGACTTTTCAGAGTATGACCACTGGTAGTAGAATACATAAGAGGAAGAACTAAATTTGGTATTTTCTTAGTTACTCTTCTCAAACTAAAGTATTGGCTTTGATACCGGGCGATCAGAGCTCAGTTAAGCGAAGAAACGGGTGGTAGCAAAACCAGAGAACCTGGCGCATTCTTCATAACCTTTTAGACACTCATGATTAATGAACACCGTATTATTGACAAAAGAGTATAGCTTTAAAGTCGAAAAATAGATAGGTCATCCAACCTCTGGTCGAAGGGTATTGGCATTCGAAAAGTATAACCAGCTCTCTTACAGACCTCCTGGTTTTGGGGGGGTTCCACCGTATATGCCAACGACAATGTTCCAAATACAAATACAAATATTTAACTAATGAATATACATCGAAGCGCCGTGTCGTGGCGGATCCATGGTTCTCAGAGCTACCTTCCTGTGGATACAGGTGGAGCACAGGAAAGCTTGGCGCCGGCTTACATCAAGTTCAAGAATATTTATAGTCTCCTCATGACGAATACAAAATCGTGTCGTAGAATATGTTCGACGAGGGAACTGCAGAATTCAAGGGCAGCGTAAGTCGAGCGCATGCATCTTGGAAAACTAACAAGGAGTTGATGTGAAACCGTGGTGGACACGACATGCCAGTAATGGCCGGATATAATTCGGTATAAATCATTAGATGTCTCTGATACAAATCGCAAGGTTAGCCAGTTCATCAGTGAGGGTAGTGTGAGTGTGGTATACAGGAGTGAGAATTTCTAAACTTACTTGACTAACAGGTTGACAGTCACATACGAGGGTGAGTTGAATACAAGGATCGCTATATCGCAATGAGTGTTGAAAGAAACCAATTGACGCGACGAGATTAACTTGTGGTCTTCTCCATCACCGAAAACAATGGAAGTTGCGCATGGGCATATGCTCGAGGACTCGAAGTGAAGAGTAAAATATGAAGAGTGAATACGGGGAGATGTCGAGTCAAGTTTCACGCATGACTACTGCCCCAAGTCGGGATATGAGCGAAAAAAGCCAATTGTTGCATTGAAGAAAATTATAAAGTTGACAACTATTCTAATTTAATTTCAATGGCCGACATAATTTGTCATGTAAAGTAGAATTGGTGGGTGGTACTATAAAATGAAATGCGAATTGTGCAGTGTGAAGAAACAAGGCATAGAGGTGTTGGCTTTGTATAGCCTCAAGAGTGACGGATGTAGAAAGTGACGGCAGGGCTGAGTGAGGTTTGATGGTGCGACATAATGATAAGGATTAAACTGCAGGAAACAACGTGGGCATTGCCTTTAATGTTGCTGTGGATAACTTCACTATTTCCTGAAAAACACGCAGCTGTACGCGAGGGACTTCTACTTTAGGAAGGCAATGAAAGATGCCCAGTGGGGCATTTACGAGGGATGCATGTTGGCCGCAAGTCTGACTTCCAGCCTCGATGAAAAAGGATATCCCAGAAAAGGGCTGTGTAGAACTTCACATAATCAATTGGAAAGAGATCATGTTGGGCTCTGGAAAAGGAAAGGGAGCGACTAACAGGGAATAATGATGGGTTAGAAACGGATACTACGAACAATGACATAGTCCTCAACACCATGATTGAAGAACAATATACAGATCTAATGGACTTCTATAACTTCACCTTCTCTACAAGAAGGATAGAAAATACCAAAGCAAAAAGAAAAAAAGAACGATAGCGTGACCCGGGTGCTCTACCACCGCTACTCTCCCTCCACCCAAATCGTCTTCGTGCGTCGCGAGGGTAACCAGGTCCCCTCTCCCCCGTCGGGGTTACACTCATTGAAGACTTCTCGAAAGGCCTCGATTCCTGCGTCCAGGTTTCGAACGAGTGGTCCCATATAGGGAGCCACGCTGAGCGTTTCTTCAGGTCAGGTGGAAGTCCTAATGACCAGTAGGTCATCAGGTTCGCTGTGGCGACAGATTATTCTTGGACTTGGGCTAAATAGAGCGTATTTTCTTGCCTGAGGCTCGCTATATTAGGCCTGAGGTTGCAATGGTTGGTCTCAGGTTCGCGTAGTTTGCTGGGCTGACGCAGATTGCGTGGGTGTGTCCAACACTCCAGACGAGTAGCTGATGATCCCGGGTGAATTTGCCAAATCTAAAACATTTCTTGGCATATACCTTTGGAAATCAGTATTATTAGAAAAAGAAAGGATACTTCTACTTTGATACAAAGGTATAAATCTATCAATTGTCTTGAGAGCCAATAGTGTTATGAGTATGCATTCTTAGCGCTTCTGGAAGCAAACTCAATTGAGTCTCCTACCTCTCCTCCAACACTCATCCACATGGACCAACTGTTTATATCTACTATATACGGTAAATGGCACTGCGTGTTACTCAACAGCAGACATTCCATGGTTGAACGCCTATGTGACGATGTTACTACATACGGTATTACTTCTCAAACTTCCTTACATAATTCTTAACTCGAGGAGTATATTTAATTTCATTTGATGGATCAAGAGCTATTCTGTTTTCTTACAACGGATGGATAACATTAGTCGTTGTCAAGTGATCATAGTATGATGAGACCTATATACGGGATGTTATTAAGTCTTTATGCCACTGATAGCTAATGACATGAAGCTGGTCGAGCTCTCCATGGCTACCAAAGTGGCGGGCCAAAACTCGATGTTAAATGGTGTGTGGACATGCTATACCGCCCTGTGCTCAATCTAAGTCTAGCACCGTCACTCTACACTGAAATTACAGCCACCCCAAGAGAGCCCATCATGTGGAGCTGTTCCTGAAACACGCCCTGTGTATTATGCAGAGCTTCTAAGCACGTAATATGCATCAAGTTTAGCCCAAATAGCATGCGCCACAAAGCTGACACTATTAATACAGGGTAGTATCTCGCTAGCGCTACCGGGGTCCAGATAGTGCCAGTGTAGGCCCAATAAACGGTCTAATCTAGGCTCTAGGCAGCAAAAACAAGCCTTCGAAACAACTTGTCAAGCTTTCTGTAGGGCTAAACCTATGAATATTAGTAGCGAAGTCAAGACATTTGGTTCCACATCTGCACATCGCTAATGGTTGATTGTAAGCACACCACATAATAAGCTCAAATTTTGTATTATCCAAAGCTGCGGCAGCTGCTACTACTAGCTCTAGTAGTACTCGGTAGGCGAGGTTCGGGGAAGTCACCGCTGCAAGTGGATCCTGTGGAAGTCTTGGCCCACTTCTTAGTCCAATTTTAGCGCGTGGCTTAAACTCGGCTGCCTGCCGCTGACGTCGTTTCGTTTCAGACCGACTCTTGCATTCTTTCAGGTTTGCAGTGTCTATATAAGGTGAGTTGTCCGGTGTTATGGTCACACCGAGTTCCCCATTATCGCATCCTTTGCTAATTTCTAGAAACACTCAAGCCTTGTCATAATCCCACCGCACTCTATCTTGTCTACCAAAAAATCGCATCGTATCCACGTAAAGCCCAACAGTCAAAATGGGCGCCTCTTCTATCTCCTCTCCGGTGAACTTCATTCTTCCGTCCTCCAGCTCCGGATCCTCCATTAAGAAACCCATCAAGTCCGTCCAAAAACCATGCTTCGGCTGTGACTGTGGCGATGAAGAGTGCGATTGCTGCATTTGCACCGTGATGTAATGTGATGCGATGATGTACGTTCGTTTACCTGGCTGAGCTCGACGACAATGGACGGTTAACGGAAGACTCAGGGCCAAGTTAGATCGGTCGACATCGGAATGATCCGGGACAACGGCTGATACGACTTTACGGGTGTTGACGATATAACGTTTGATGTGGATTTGGGGTGATTACGGCCATGAGCTGGAGGACTTTTGCCGCTTTTCTGAGCGATAATTGTTGATATATACTGTTATTGATATCCATTTGAATTTCTCTGTTTGTCTCTCCGCCTCTTTCTTCTCTCCCTTTTCTCTTCTTTTCTGCTTGTCTCGGTGCTATCACTCGTAGATCCTACCTCGGGCCACTTACGATCTCTTGACTATCTTGTCATTAAGCAATGATTGACATCGCATGACTTCGCTTGATCAGTATTACTCAAGATATTAGGATTGAGTAGAAAAGAAGAAAGAAGGAAGGAAAGAAGGAAGAAGAACGACAGAAAAAAGAAGAGAAGAGAAAAGAGAAAGAGAAAGAGAGCTTTTGCTCTATGTATCAGCCGCCTGTTCAAACATACCGGCGTTCACTGTTCTCTGCTGTTCATACCAGAACTTCAAGAGGTGATTTTTGTTGCTCTCCAGCGACCCGTTTTGGTCGTTGAAGTTTGCTCAATGAATAGAGGTGTGAAACTAGCAAAACTACGCCAACAAAGCCAATAAGGCTAAAGAGTACGAAAATAGAAAGGGCCTGCAGTTTCATTGTACGTCTACAACTACAAGAATACCCTCAACGTTTTCATCACTCTCATACTCACGAGGCAGTCAACTCACCCACAATGCCATTTCCGCTGCTGAATTTACCTACCGAACTACGGCTCGAGATCTATCGTCATCTTTTTGGCATCTCACCTACTACTCGGCTCGTCCTGTATTACTTGCCCAGATACCTCATCGGGTTCAAACGTCCATACCAAACCTTCGAGATCCTGTATTCTGCTCTGCCAACTCCACATGTCACAGAATACCCGGACCAGAGTGGGTATCTACCAATGAATTGGGCCCCGTCAAGAGAGCTGCAGTCTCTTTCTCGCCATCTTGGTGACCTGTAAACGGGTCTACGAGGAAGCAATGCCGCTATTCTACTCTGAGACGTTCTTCATATTGGCAGGACTCGTCAGGACTATCAATTGGCTGAATGGGATCGGTGCCAAACGAAGACAGTGTATCCGGCGGTTAAGTATTGAGTATGGAGTACCGGAATCGCGGAAAGTAATCGGGAACGATACACAAGACAGTATGCAGGCACTTTCCGAGAGGTTGATGGATGTGGAGCGTGTCGATGTCCTGGAGCTACGTATATTCAGCAAGCTGTATACGGATGATCCCTCTTACATAGTGGAATATATCAATGGTAGTGCGCCGGGGTGCTCTGCACTTCGGAAACCGACTGAACCACTCCTATTATATGGCATTCAGCAGCTAGAGCGGCTGCCACGAATGGGTTGTTTACAAATTGTGGGGGATCCAGAATCACTCCTACGGTTTTCTGAGGATCAGGCACATCTAAAGGCTTTAGCAGAAGGCAAAAAAACTGCTGGACTTGGCAAAGACGATGGGAATAGTCCTGTTGTGAAATGGGTAAGGCGAAAAGGGGAATTTCTTGTTTAGTAGTAGCAAATGAATGGCATACTCAATAGTCAGGTCAGTGAATATGACTATGTGAGTGACAGTCAACTTGTTATATCCATCGTTAGCTGCATGTCTGTCAGATGTCGGGACTTCCTTTAGGTCTTGTAGTCGAAATAAGATGGGCTGGCACATACGCCACCGGTCTATTTAGATACTGAATGATTGTTGATGTGGACTCTTTCCTTGGTTAAATTCTATTCAGCATGTTACCTCTTTCCCTTGCTCCCTCCGCGGTCTCCCATTCATTAGACACCAAGTCCTAGAAGCGTTCCCATAGCCTGGCCTGACTACCCACTAGCGGCAACTACTTTGGTGTTCCCTTTTCCCTTCCCTTTCCCTCCCTAATGTGGCGATCCGCATGAAACTGACAATGGGAGACATTGCAACCTGAAGAGACCATATTCCGCCTGCATACCATGGCAGCTTTAGGCCTCGAAACCGTATCTCTGTTGAAAATCACTATTGCGATTTTTCTTAGATTTCATGCTAGACTCCGTAGACTATGACCAATCACTACAATTCGCCTTATTGCGGTGCCAATGTCGGGCGGAAAAGAAGCGGTGACTCATTCGCTTAGTTGGGGGTAGTTAGGGTTTGCTTACATCCAACCATCTGGACGCGGGTGGATAGGAGAGTAATCTCGCCAGGGCGGAAGAATGAGCTGAGCCTGAGTGGATCTTTGACACGATTGATGAACTGCTGTTTGTACCCCATCTGCGTTTATAGCGTTCCGCGTTGTCGACCTCGCCCGTTCCGTTTGGTTATTTTCCTCCGTCCCCCACATTCGTCCGAAAAACACTGTCGAGATCAAAAGAAAAGTCCCCACTATACTCCCTCCATCAAACACGCGAAAACAATGGTATCGGGCATCATTTCGTGGGAAAGGCGTAGCAACCTGGCAGCAGCCTCAGGCTGTGATGAAGTGTCATGAAATTACGGTGAAGTGTCACGCGCCAGCCAATGGTAGCAACGGTGCGCTGGATAGGGCTGCCAATCGTTACAATTATTCCCACAGAGTCACTCTAGTATTGCTAGAAATCTAGGCCAACTACTGTTTCAGACTTACTAATGATGCTGAACATCATGGGCATCGCAATACAGGGCAATGGCAGAAGGCGAAGTCCTATGGCCCACGTGTTCCGAGATCCACCCAGTTTGTTCTCGGCCATGATTGACAGTCGATCAGCCCTAGTATCCATCACTAGCATGTTTGAATGTAAACGTGTAACAGGCACACCCTCAGCGCGGCACACTAGACTCTGGAGTTATGGGCGTGGCCAGCTGAACAACAAATCAGTAGTGGGTTGACTAGGGGACTTGTCCATTCTATGTCCAATGAATTCTGCCAAGTAGCCCCCATAGCCTTAGGACGACTATATGCAATGAATAGAGAAATCTCCTAACATTGTTCGCATCGCAAAAGCCCCATTGTCTAGTGGCCTGATACACTTCTTCTGCCCTACCTTAAGTGATATAAAAAGAGGTGCCTTTCGCACTCTCCTCGATTTCCTATCATTCAATCACTCAAACAATACTATCACCTACAATCCAAAGTTCCACTCCATTCTCTATCATCTTCCACTCTAGCCACCATGTCCTTCCACTACGATACTCGTCAGGGAGACAACGAGCAGTACAGCATGGGATTCGAAATCGGCGGCCGCCAGTCAGACGCCTTCCCCACGCCATGTTCTGCCCTGAAAGCTGGTGGATTCGTCCTCCTCAAGGGCCATGCTTGCAAGATTACGGACATATATCCATGTTCAGCCGACGGCTCCGTGGTCCAGATTCTGGGAACCAATGTCCAGACCGGAGAAATATGGGAGGACATATACCCTCTCCGCGAGACGGTCTTTGTCCCTCGCATGTCCCAGGACAATTACAGTCCGGTGAGTGTGAATCTTCACGCGTCTCTCAGACTCGCACATTGCCGTTAAGAATGCAAACTGACCTGCGATTATCATAGACTTCATCCAGCCGCAAGGGAAGCATGGACCTCCAGAGCCGCAGAGCGGGCCCTGGTAGCCACATAAGTGCCAGATCCCGCCAACCCAGTGACGCTGGACGTTACCTCAAGTAAGTAGTACATACCTATTAGAGAACGCTGGCGCTAGAGACGTGAAGACATGAAGCTTACGATTGTTACCACCTAGTTACTGAACTTCGGACTATTTCTCGCGATGTCGCTGCCATGAAGATTCTTGGACGTTGCGAGTCATCTGTTTGATTAGTTAGGTACACGATGGTTGATCCATCGATGGGCTCTGGTTGGAGTTGATTTGGTTCGGTTGATTTTTCCTTGGATATATTTGGTTCACATTTTTTGTTATTACATAGACTGGATCTCGTTTTCCTTGAATATCACTCTGTGGTTCTTTTCGTGATAAACAGTGACGTGCTACTTATCCATTACATAGATGGACGATCTCCATACTATCTCCAACCAGGTCTCAGAAGAGGTAACAAGGACATAGACTGAGGACATAATATGACACAAAAAGTGAGCGAGTGTCTTCCAAACTCAACATCCTCCTCAGCACGTGCAACAAGGTTAACCTTCACCACATGACGTCATCTGACCATATCCCCAGAATGGCGCGAACCCCGGCCAGAACCACGCCAAATATAGGGTATCACGATCATTTCCCTCGGGAGTCCATCACTTGGACCCGAAAATGATCTCTCCAGTGGGGCAGCCTCTATCTTGGGCTTGGGTTATCCGCCGAAGAACCAGGGACCAGCTTTCCCGTCACCATGACGCAATGGACTGGTATACGCAGCGAATTTTTGTTTACTTATAAATAACGCCCGTTTGCTCTGAGAGCTGTTACAGTCTGTAGCATATTGTCAATTGCATTATAGAACCTCGATTTACCCTCTTCCAATTCCTCCCTTTCACCGAATACTTCTTTTACTATCATAACTTACCAAGATGTTGAGTCGCAGCTCCAGATTCGCAACAAGCTGCTCAAGACAGCAGCTCTACCGCCAAACAAGAGCTCCCCTGCGCAATGCGCGCGCTCGCTACTCCACCTCGACAGAATCAGGCTCGGTGGGCGGTTCCCCCGCCGTAATCGGTGGGATCGCCGGTGGCACCGCCGCTTTTCTGGCAGGATGGGTGTGGTACCAGTTCTCCGGGGCGAAGACGCTCGTGAAGACTGCGAATCAAACGGAGACGTATTTCAAAGAGGCCAAGAAGAAGGTCGCCCAGAATACTCCCGAGCCGGATGAAGCGTTCGGGTGGTTGAGAGATACAGCTAAGAGCTACGCGTCGTTTATCCCCGGCGCCAAGAGCTACGTTGATACGGCGTTTGATGACCTAGAGCGCATCAGACGGAACCAGGGGAAGGAGTTTGATGAGATTGTCCGCGATGCGTATAATGACTTGCGGGAGATCTCGAAGAAGGGGAAGCTTGATGTGGATACCGCGGTTAAGGTGCGCGATGTGCTGGAGAAGCATTTTAAGCGGTTGTATGAGCTGGCGAGTGATTCTGCGGAGGATATCTTGGATAATCATCCCGAACTCAAGGAGAAGTTCGGTGGTAGCTTTGATCGTCTGAAGGAGATGGGTAGTGCTTATGGTCCTCAGGCTCAGGAGGAGGTGGATAAGACTTGGAAGCAGGTTAAGGATATTGTCGCTGGTGGTATCAGCTCTGATACTGTCGAGAAGATCCAGAAGGTGGCTAAGGAGAAGGAGGAGAAGCTTCGGAAGCTGGGGGACGAGGCCTGGAAGCGTGGTCTCGATGAGGCCCAGCCTTACCTTGAGAAGAGTCCGAAGATCAAGGAGTTTGTTGAGAGGAACACAGACGCCTTGAAGAAGGGCAACTACGCGAAGATCTGGAGCTTGATCAAGGAGAGTTCCTCCTCGGGAAACACGGAAGACCTGGAAAAGTACGTCAAGGATCTCGCTAGTAAAGCCAAGGAGAGCGGATTCGGCAATCTGGATAAACTGTCAAACATGGTTCCCGGCGGTTCCCAGATTCTTTCCCAGCTGCAGTCGCTCCAGAATGCTGCGGAGAAGAAGGGCGCAGAGGCTGAGAAGCTTCTCAAGGAAACTATCGATGACCTCCAGGGAGTTCTGTCCGAGAAAGTGAAGAAAGCGGAGCAGCTTGCTGAGGAAACGAAGTCTGAGACCAAGTAAGCTGGGGATAACGATGTGCTAGTTTATTTATACATTGCATGAGTCGAGGCTCCATCCGGCGAAAGATTAATATAATCAGAGGATGTATTCTTGGATGGCGCTGAATTCTGGAAACCGGCGTTGTTATTCGGGTCTAGGTCAGGGATGGCTTATGGCAGGTAGATACTAAATTAACAATGTGATATATCAATTCAATATCTTAATTCTCCGAGCACGTTTCATGTGCCATTTCTAGAGGCGCGAGACAAACTTACCTGCCTAAGGCCAAAACTAATTGAAAGGCCAAAGCCACCGCCTATTTCTGCCGGCAACGTTCAGTACCGCATCCAGAACATGACAATGCCGCCCTATCCTGCGACCATTTTTCGCGATTGCTTTCATCTAATAGATTAACTGAATTGGCCGGTCTCACGGGCGTTAAGAGGATACGATCGATACGTATAAAACCATAACGACGCACCGCCATACCTCACAGAAGACCAATCCCACACCTCCCTCATCGTCAAAATGTCCTCCGGATTCGTATCAGCCGGAACAGACCAAGAGCCCATAGAGCGCGACGATGAATGGCTCCGCGCCCAACAGGAGCTGGAGGAAGAGCGGCGGCGCAAGGCAGAACTAGGCAAGCAAGCCGAGGGCAAAAGTCTGTATGAAGTGTTGCAGCAGAACAAAAGTGAGTCTCCGGTATCCTGAGCGGGGCCAGCTTGCGCAGATCACGGATATTCGTTTGGATTGACATGTTAGGGGTGATTGTTCCTCTGCGATGAAAAGTGGCCAAACAGGAAGCCTTTGAGGAGAAAATTAAATTGAAGAATCAGTTCCGTTCGCTGGACGAGGATGAGGTCGAGTTCCTGGACTCCATTATGGAGTCGACGCGCGCGCAGGAGGCCGCTGTGAAGAAGGAGACTGCTGAACAGCTGGAGGCTTTCCGGAGACACCGGGAGGAGGCGGAGAAGGTTGCCCTTGAGGAGGGGACTGCGGATGTTACTCCCGCCGCTGAGGGAGAGGATTGGAAGATCCCTGCGCGTAAGAGGAGGAGGGACAAGAAGGATCTTTTGCTTCCTGGGAAGAAGCGCAAGTCTACCGCCGAAGGTGCGGAAGAGACTCCGTCGACTGGAGAGCAGAAGGTGGATCAAAAGGACAAGGGTTCTGGAAAAGATGATAAGCAGTCCGTTCCAGTTCCAGCTGAAGCCGCTAAAGTTCACAAGTCACAGCCACCTGCGAACAGGGCGACTTCTGCTAGCCCCGTACAGGCCGGGGGCGTGAAGGTGACAGCGCCTGAACAGACCGAGAAGCAAGCGGCCAAGCCAGCCCCGGTATCTCTTGGCTTGGCCGGCTACAGTTCCGACTCGGAGTAATTGCAATTGCAATTTCGCTGGGACCACGTATCACACCCATTGACCTTTTGGCGCATCCTTTCGATAACGCTTACAATACGTGATTCATCTTGCGATACCAATGGATCATTGAGCTTGAACATGCCTGGCCAGTGATCACAGCCACTGTACAACCAGGTTTTGGTAAAATGGTGAAAGTGTGAATCTAGCAATCGGAAGACACGGTGTTCCAGCTATTTCAAAAAATTAAACAGACTAACTCGCAGCATATTTGATGGTCCTCGATTCATTTACAATGCATTGTCCAGGTTACTTCGGAAACCAACACCATTATGTCCCAAAGTGTATACAATATGTATGAGATTATATTGTGAAAATATCAAAGCAACAACCAACTCTTGTACTCTACCCCATTTATGGGGAATCATTCTTCTGACTCCGTGTTCCGCTTTCAACCCCTTGTATTATCTTTATCCATCAGCGCTTCACTCCTTGTGTGTCGCGAAAACCTCTTGCTTCACTTCTTGCTCCTCAACTTTGTGCTCGAGGTCATGTGGAAGATAGTCCTCCTTCTTGGTTCCTACCACGATCCATGGAGAGTTGGAGAACAAGTAGTTCATCTCCTCAAGCGGCAACTTCTTCGTCTCAGGCAGCAACAACCAGAAGAAGATTGCGTTGGTGAAGTTGCAGATAATGAAGAGGAAGTAATACCGGTAGCGGACATTCTGCATTGCAATTGGTGTCACTTGGCCAATCATGGTGTTGAACGCATAAGAGGTCATGGTAGCGATGGAAACACCCTTGGACCGAGTTCGCGTATCGAAAACCTCTGCCGGAATGATCCACGACAGAGGACCACAGGTGCAAGAGAATGAGAAATTGTACAACCATGTCATGATGATGAAGCCCCAGTGAGCCCCTGAGTTGTTGACTTCGGGGGGGAATCTTGCCAACAGAATGCATGCGATGATGAAAGTGACACAGTTACCCAAGTTTCCGAAGATCAGACTTCGCCGTCTACCGAAGCGGTCAATGAACATCATACAGAGGAACTGGGCCACCAAGGCAATGACGGAATTGATCGCCTGGTAGCGCAAAGTTTCGTCTCCCTTGATTCCGATTTGCTCATAGATTGTCACGGAATAGTACCTGACGAAAATGAAGATTAGTGGCTGATATCTAGGAAGACCGAGGGCATTTCGGTTGTTTCGAAACGTCCAGGTTCAGAGGCTCTCTATCGGCACTTACTGGATAGCTGACACTCCCGTCATCTGCACTGATGCCTGCAACGCGCAGCAAAGGAAGAGACGGCGGAACGATGACCGAGAATTGAACAACTCCAGGTATGACTTGGCTTCATTCTCATGCTCGAACGTGATACTCTCCTGGATCTGGTTGTATTCAGCACGGACCCATGTGTCATTCACATCCCCATGCGCGTGAAGCTTTGCAAGCGTCTGCAGGCCCTTTTCGTGCTCGCCATGGTCGATGAGCCAACGCGGCGACTATCCTTGGATTAGCTACGACAACTGTAACAATATACGGATATCCTCACCTCTGGGAAAAACATGATCAAGAGACCCAAAAACACGGCGGGAGCCA